CGGCTGGCAGATACGCTTGACCTGCTTCTTCCTCCGTGGCCGGTATTTGTAGTTGGGGTAATCTTGCATGTGCTGCACCCGCAGCCTTTCCGCTTCTTCCACATACGGCCTCTTCTGGGAAGGAGTGAGGGATTTCCAGGACTTGCCTGCCACAAGGGAAGAACAAAAATCCCCTTAGCATCATCCAGGCCGGGCGTGGAAGGCCTGTTTCCCTGCACACCCAGCAACCAAGGGCAGCCCTGCATCTGGTGGAGATCAGGGGCCAGATACCCACTGAATCCTGGCTAGAGAGATATGACCCTAAACAAAATAATGTCGCAGGCCGGGGATGCGTCCTACAGCCCTACAGAGCGGGACAGCCCCTGCAGAGCAGAAGTTCACGAGAAACAACAAGGAGTCCAGGGGCGCCTGAAAGACTAACCCACTTTATTGTGGCAGAAGCTGCTGTGAATTGCAGCTCACCAAAGCACGCGCCAGAATAAAAGTGTTCAGCGGTCAGACCCCCCCCCTCAAGTCTCAGTGGGGGAGCCTGTAACTTTCACAACAAGATGAGCATCCCCGTGGCACCTTAGCGCCTAACAAAACGAGATAGGATCTGGCGCTTTCGTGGGGAAAACCCACTTCCTTCGGTGAGCTGGAGGGACCCGAGAGATCGGCTCGCCCGAAGAGGTGGGTTTTGCCCACAAAAGCTCGTCCTGCTAGAGATGTGTTTGTGAGGCTCTCAGGTGCCCTGGGACAGCTGGTGTTGAAACAGACGAGCCTGGCCACTTTTGAAACCTGACAAAAAGTGAAGTGGCCGGATTAGGAGGGCTACAGGCTCGTGTGGCTTGTCTCCTGCCTCTTTACACAAACCCTTTAAACCAGACGCCCGCTCCCTGGGCATCTGCAGAAAGCTTTGGAGGTTTCTCTCTGCCACCGCACACTGCTAGGAAGTCTGAGCCCAGTGGAGAGAGGAGGTTAAGAGACTTTCCTGGAGCCCAGCAAATACACACAGTGCCAGGCCCCGATCCTGCAGACTCCCAGCGACCGAGGAGCCCTGCGGACAGGGCGGATCGCTCGGCGGCTTCTCAACTCACATGGTGACACGGGGGTGCGTCTACCCAGCACCCTCCACGCGAAATAAGAGGCGCAATGCCCACTGCGGTTCTTATTTCAAATCCACTGCAAAACGACGCACGATTTCGAGCTTATCCCTCGTGCAACGAGATTTACCAGGACGGCGGAATCGTGCACCCGTTATTTCGAAAAATAGTTCGGAATAACGGGCGGCTTGTGTAGAGGTGGGGTAACTATTTCAGGATGCCAGAGCCCTGCAGAGTAGCCCCCCGCTTCCTCTCTAGGGCGCCCCCGGCTCCCTGCCACCTGCCC